GTTCTTGTAGTTGAAAATAACAATAACGGCTTTTCGAGCCGTAGGTCTCGGGTAGTGGCCGAGCAGGAATAATGACTTATTTTGTATTTTTTCTAGGAATCTGCTTTGTTGTGGGTGTTTTAGGTGTAGCATCGAATCCTTCGCCGTACTATGGGGTAGTTGGCTTAGTTTTAGCATCTGTGGCTGGGTGTGGGTGGTTATTGAGCCTCGGGGTTTCGTTTGTAGCCCTGGTGCTGTTTATGGTGTATTTGGGGGGCATGTTGGTGGTATTTGTCTACTCTGTAGCTCTGGCCGCGGAGCCTTTTCCGGAAGCTTGGGGGGATTGACGTGTGGTTGGGCATGCGGCGGCACTTGCGGCGGTGGTTTTAGGGGGGTTGGTATTGGGCGGGTTTGTTGGGTCTTGGGGGTTAGGGGTTGTAACTGTTGATAGTGTTGGAATGTTTACTGTACGGCTGGATTTTAGTGGGGTGGCTATGCTTTATTCGCGTGGGGTTGGGATGTTTTTGGTTGCAGGTTGAGGGCTCTTGTTGACTTTATTTGTTGTGTTGGAGCTTGTGCGGGGGTTGTCTCGGGGGGCTATTCGGGCAGTTTAGGGGTCGGGATCAGAGAATAGTTTATTGTAAAATACCAGCTTTGGGAGCTGGAGATAAAGGTTTAATCCCTTTTTTTCTGAGGCCTGGGAGTACTCTAAGAAGTGGTTAGTCTTCAGTCTTTGGTTTACAAGACCAATGTTTTGTATAAACTATTAGAGTATTTAGCAGTTAAGCATTTTGTTTTCTAGGGCGCTTACGGCAGGGAAAAGGAATAGGAGGATGGTGAAGTAAGTAATTGATGCGAGTTGCCCGATGATGATGAATGGGTGTTCGACAGGTTGGCTTCCCACTCATGTTAGGACGAGGAGGTTGGCCACTAGTGTTCAGAATAGGAGTTGGGAGAGCGGCCGGAATGTTATTGTTCGTTGTTTTGATTTGTGGAGGAAGGGGACCAGGAATAGGATTAGGACGGAGGCGGCTAGTGCTAGGACGCCTCCTAGTTTGTTTGGGATTGACCGCAGGATGGCGTAGGCGAATAGGAAGTATCATTCTGGTTTAATGTGTGGTGGGGTTACTAGGGGGTTTGCGGGGGTGAAGTTTTCTGGGTCCCCTAGAAGGTTAGGTGAGAATAGGGCTAGTGCTATGAGGGGGGTAAGCATGAGGATAAATCCTAGGATGTCCTTAAAGGAGAAGTAGGGGTGGAATGGGATTTTGTCACAGTCTGATACAAGACCTAGGGGGTTGTTTGAGCCTGATTCGTGTAGGAAGGTTAAGTGGACTAGGGTGATTCCTGCGATTAAAAAGGGTAGTAGGAAGTGAATGGCGAAGAATCGGGTTAGGGTTGGGTTATCCACTGAGAATCCTCCTCAGGCTCATTCTACCAGGGTCTGTCCGATGTATGGGAGGGCTGAAAATAAGTTGGTAATTACGGTAGCTCCTCAGAACGATATTTGTCCTCATGGCAGGACATAACCTACGAAGGCAGTTGCTATAAGAGTGAGCAGTAGGATTACTCCTGTATTTCAAGTTTCTTTATACAGGTAGGAGCCGTAGTAGAAGCCTCGTCCGATGTGCAGGTAGATGCAGATGAAGAAGAATGAGGCGCCATTGGCGTGGAGGTTGCGGATGAGTCAGCCATATTGGACGTTTCGGCATGTGTTGGCTACTGAGGAGAAAGCAAGGGATGTGTCTGCGGTGTAGTGCATAGCCAGTAGGAGGCCTGTGAGGATTTGTGTGGCCAGGCAGATGGCGAGCAGAGATCCGAAGTTTCATCAGGCAGAGATATTAGAGGGTGCGGGAAGGTCGATTAGGGAGTTGTTGATTATTTTTAGTAGGGGGTGGGATTTGCGGATGTTTGGGGCCATTAGAAGGTCTGTGTGGTCAGGATTATTACTAGGATGGATAGGGCGAAAGATCCTAAGTAGGTTTTGATAAGCCCGGTGTGTGCCAGGGTTGCGGCTTTGCTTGCGGCTACCTGCAGCTCGGCGAGGCCCTCTGGCCCTATTTTTTTGAGCCAGGAGAGGTCGATTAGGTGTAGGGCGATGTTTTGCCCCTTTTCTAGCAGGGTTTTGGAGCAGAATCGGTGGACTAGGGGGTTGAAGTAGCCTAGCAGGGAGGAGAAGTTTACGAGGCGGCTTGGTTTGGGGTGGGTGAGGGTGTGTGTTATGTTCGAGAGCTCAAGGGCTAGGATGACTCCTAGGACTGTTACTAGGATGGCAGCAGTTTTGGTGATGAGGGGTATGGTTATTGGGGGTGTTTTGGTTGGTGTGATGAAGGAGGTGATTAGTATTCCTGCCATGATGCTGCCGAGGGCAAGGCGAGTTAGGGGGGCAGTGATTAGTGGGTTGTTTTCGTTTATTGGTGTGATTGGGGGGATACGAGTCCGTCCGGCTTGGACTAGGAGGGTTATGCGGATGCTGTAGGTTGCAGTGAATGCTGTGGCTAGGAGGGTTAGTGATAGGGCCCAGGTGTTTAGGTAGGATGTATTTAGGCTTTCGATGATGAGGTCTTTTGAGTAAAATCCAGCTAAAAATGGGGTTCCTATGAGTGCTAGATTGCCAATGGTTAGGCAGGAGGTAGTGACTGGGAGTGTTTTTTGCAGGCCGCCTATTTTTCGGATGTCCTGTTCTCCGTTTAGGCTGTGGATAATGGACCCGGAGCATAGGAACAGTATGGCTTTGAAGAAGGCATGGGTTGAGATGTGTAAGAACGCTAGTTGGGGGAGGTTTAGTCCGATGGCGACCATTATTAGTCCGAGCTGACTGGATGTTGAGAAAGCGATGATTTTTTTAATGTCGTTTTGGGTTAGGGCGCATGTGGCGGCGAATAGGGTTGACAGGGCGCCGAGGCATAGACATGCAGTTAGGGCTGTTTGGTTGGAGGCTAGTAGCGGGTGTATGCGGATAAGTAGGAAGATCCCGGCTACGACTATGGTGCTGGAGTGTAATAGGGCAGATACGGGGGTGGGGCCTTCCATGGCTGCAGGTAGTCATGGGTGTAGGCCAAATTGTGCGGATTTCCCTGCAGCGGCGAGGATTAGTCCTAGGAGGGGGAGGATGGGGGTTTGGTGGGGGTGTACGGCTTGTTGAATTTCTCAGGTGTTGAAGGTTGATGCTAGTCATGCTATGCTCAGGATTAGGCCGATGTCTCCAACTCGGTTGTAGATTACGGCCTGTAGGGCGGCAGTGTTGGCTTCTGCTCGGCCCTGCCATCAGCCGATGAGGAGGAAGGATATGATTCCTACGCCTTCTCAGCCGATAAATAGGAGGAACATGTTGTTTGCGGTTGTTAGAAGCAGCATGGCAATTAGGAATGTGAGTAAGTAGGTGAAAAATTTTGTTACATATGGTTCGGAGGCCATGTATCACATGGCGAATTGTAGAATGGACCATGTTACGAATAGGGCAATGGGGAGGAATGTTATTGAATATTGGTCTATTTTTAGGCTTAGGGGGATTTTGAAGTTTATGATAAATTTTCATTCTCAGTGGCAGGTAATGGATTCTAGTCCGGAGTAGATGAATGTAGTTGTTGGGGCCAGGCTTGTTAGAAATGCAGCTTTTACGGTGCGAGTGATAGAGAGGGGGGTGTTTTTAAAGCCCTTAAAGAGGAGTGGGAGGATGATTGGAGTTAGGAGGATGGTTAGTGTGAGGAGTGTGAGGGAGTTAATGAGTAGGGTCGCATTCACTACTTTTACTTGGAGTTGCACCAAGATGGATGGCTCCTAAGACCAGTGGATTACTATTATCCTTTAAAAGTAAGGGGGCTGGGGTTTAAAGCCCAGATGCAAGAATTAGCAGTTCTTGTTGGTTTAACCTCCCCTCGGCAGGCAAGAAGGTTTGAACTTCTATTTTTAGGATCACAGCCTAATGTTTGGTTTAAACTATGCTTGCATAAGGGGGCTCCAGAGATTAGTTCGGGCTTGAGGATCAAGAGGAACATGGGGATGATGTGGAGTGTTATGAGCAGGTGCTCTCGTGTGGTTGAGTTTTGAATGGATGTGATATGGGAGGGAATTGAGCCCCGTTGGGTGACTAGCAGCATGAATAAGGTGTATGATGCGGTTAGTAGGGTGGCAATTCCTGTCAGGATGATTGTGAGGGCGGATCAGTTAAATAGGGTGATTATGATGGTTAGCTCTGCTATAAGGTTTGTTGTTGGGGGAAGGGCCATGTTTGTTAAGTTGGCTAGTAGTCATCAGGTGGCTATGAGGGGTAGTAGGGGTTGGAGGCCTCGTGTGAGTAGCAGGATTCGGCTGTGTGTGCGTTCGTAGTTTGTGTTGGCTAGGCAGAATAGTATGGAGGAGGTTAGTCCGTGGGAGATTATTAGGATTATTGCCCCTGAGAATGATCAGTGGGTTTGGATTATTCCTGCAGCGATGACCAGTCCTATGTGGCTGACGGATGAGTAGGCGATTAGTGATTTTAGGTCTGTTTGTCGGAGGCAGATTGAGCTAGTTATTAGGGCACCTCATAGGGCTAGGGTTAGGAAGGGGTAGTGGAGGATGTTGGATAGAGGTCCTATTAGTAGGGTGACTCGTATGATCCCGTAGCCTCCTAGTTTTAGCAGAAGGGCGGCGAGGAGTATTGAGCCTGCGATGGGAGCCTCTACGTGGGCTTTTGGTAGTCAAAGATGTAAGCCATATAGAGGGGCTTTTACTATGAATGCTATAAGCAGTGCTAGTCCTGATAGAATGCTTGTTCATGAGGTGGATAGGGTTGGGTGGGTTAGTTCTAGGGTTGGTAGGTGTAGGGTGCCGATTTTTACGTACAGGTGTATAATCGTGATTAAAAGGGGTAGTGAGCTTACTAGCGTATAAAATAGTAGATAGGTGCCGGCGCTGAGGCGTTCAGGTTGGTTTCCCCATCGTGTGATTAGGATCAGGGTTGGGATAAGTGTGGCTTCGAATGCAATGTAAAATAGCGCTAGTTCTGTGGTAGAGAAGGCTAGGAGGATGAACGGTTGGACTATAATTAGGGTTGAAATGAATATTCGCTTTCGTGGTAGGGGCTCTCCTTGGAGGTGGTTTTGGCTTGCTATGATTATAAGCGGGAGGAGTCAGCAGGATAGCACCAGGAGGGGGGAGGAGATTTGGTTGATTCCTGTTCAATTGGACAGGAATTTGTAGGGGTAGTAGGTCGGGATTAGTCATTGGAGGCTGAGGGCGGCAATTAGCAGGCTATACATGGTAGTATTAGTTCACAGGAATTTTGGAGGGGATAGTAGGGCTGTTGGGAGTAGTATAATTGTTGGTAGGATAACTTTTAGCATTGTAGTAAGTTTAGGTTGTGCAGGTGGTCGGAGCCGTGGGTGCGTGTAGAGGCTACTAGGATGGCTAGGCCGGTGCCTGCCTCACATGCTGAGAAGGTGAGTATGATGATTGGTACTGCGGCGAATGAGGGGGTTTGGCTCTCGATAGACCATATTGTTAGGCCTACAAACATTGAAAGTATCATGCTTTCAAGGCATAGTAGGGCTGATACTAGGTGGGTTCGGTGGAAGGCCAGTCCCAGTCCGCTAAGAATGAAGGCTGAGTAGAAGCTCAGGTGTAGGGGCGACATAAGAAAGTTACAGGGTTGGCTGTAGTCTGCTGGGCCGAAACCAGCTGTCTTTGGGCTAGACTAACTTTCTGTTATTCTGCTCATTCTAGGCCCCCCTGAGCTCATTCGTAGGCTAGCCCTAGCGTTAGGAGAGATAGAATAGCTGCGGTTCAGGCGAGGGTTATTAGGGGCGACTGTAGTTGGATTGCCCAGGGTAGGGGGAGTAGGAGGGCGATTTCTAGGTCGAACAGGAGGAACAGGATGGCTACTGAGGAAGAATCGGATTGAGAATGGTAGGCGTGCAGACCCGAGGGGGTCGAATCCGCATTCGTATGGTGAGAGTTTTTCTGAGTCGGGGGTCATTTGGGCGAGTCAGAAGTTTAGTGCGGTTAGGATGGCACTTAGGACCAGTGATAGGGAGAACATAAATGTGAGTATGTTCATTGCTCTTCTCTGGGCTTGCACCAGATTTTAGAGATTGGAAGTCAATTGTAATTAATATACTAGAAGAGCAAGATCCTCATCAGTAGATGGTTATATAGAGGAATAGTCAGATAACGTCTACGAAGTGTCAGTATCAGGCTGCGGCTTCAAATCCGAAGTGGTGGTCTGATGTGAAGTGGAATTTGATTAGTCGGAGGAGGCAGACGGTTAGGAAGGTGGATCCGATGATCACGTGGAGTCCGTGGAATCCGGTGGCAACAAAGAAAGTGGAGCCGTAGACGCTGTCGGCGATTGAGAATGGGGCTTCATGGTACTCTATTGCTTGTAGGGCGGTGAAGTAGAATCCTAGGAGAATCGTCAATGTTAGGGCGTGGATGGCATGTTTTCGGTTTCCTTCTGTGATGCTGTGGTGGGCTCATGTGACAGTTACGCCTGAGGCTAGGAGGATGGCTGTGTTTAGTAGCGGGACTTCTATGGGGTTGAGCGGTTTGATGCCCGCTGGGGGTCATTGGCCGCCTAGTTCGGGGGTTGGTACTAGGCTTGAGTGGAAGAATGCCCAGAAAAATCCTAGGAAGAAGAAAGCTTCGGATGTGATGAAGAGGATTATGCCGTATCGTAGGCCTTTTTGGACTGTAGGTGTGTGGTGGCCTTGGAAGGTGCTCTCTCGGACAATGTCCCGTCATCATTGGAGTATCACTAGGAGCATTGATAAGAGGCCGGCGGCTAGCAGGATAGATGAGTTGTAGTGGAATCACATGACTAGCCCTGAGGTTGTGAGTAAGGCGGCGGCAGCTCCAAAGATTGGTCAGGGGCTGGGGTCGACTATGTGGTAGGAGTGTGCTTGGTGTGCCATTAGATGTTTTCTTGTAAGTACAGGCTTAGGAGGAGGACGAAAACGTAGGCCTGGATTATGGCCACTGCTACTTCTAGGATGGTGAGGAGTAGTAGGATGGCTATTGTTAGGATTGATACTGTGGGAAGGATGGGCATGAGTGCGATGGAGGCTGTGGAGATGAGTTGAATAAGTAGGTGGCCTGCTGTGAGGTTAGCTGTGAGGCGGACTCCTAGAGCTAAGGGCCGGATCAGCAGGCTGGTTGTTTCGATCAGGATTAGTGCGGGGATCAGGGGTGTTGGGGTTCCTTCTGGCAGTAAGTGAGCCAAGGAGGCTGATGGTTTGTTTCGCAGGCCTGTTAGTAGGGTAGCAAGCCACAGGGGGAAGGCTAGGGCCATGTTTATGGATAGCTGGGTGGTTGGGGTGAATGTATATGGGAGAAGTCCTAGAAGGTTGATTGTTAGGAGTATGGTTATTAGTGATGTTAGCATCAGGGCTCATTTGTGGCCGTTTTTGTTTAATGGGATTATTAGTTGTTTTGTGATTAGGTGTAGGAGTCACAGTTGGATGGTGGATAGTCGGTTGTTGATTCATCGGTTGCCTGGGGATGGGAACAATAGGGCTGGGAAGAGCAGGGATAGTAGGATCAGGGGGATGCCAAGTAGGTGGGGGCTTGAGAATTGGTCAAAGAAACTTAGGTTCATGGTCAGGCTCATGGTGTGGGTTTGGTGATGAGTGATGGTTTTTTTGATGGGGGATTTGTTGTGGTGAAGGTTAGCAGTTTTGGCTGGATTAGGAGTGCGAGGGTTAGTCAGGTTATGACTATGATTGAGAATCATGGTGCAGGGTTGAGTTGAGGCATGCCATTAAGGAGGGGATAATTCCTCTTTAGCTAGCTTAAAAGGCTAGTGCTGTTGCATAGCTTCTTAATGATTAGGATGACGATAGGAGGGATGATCAGGCTTCAAAGTATGGGAGTGGGGTAGATTCTACTACAATAGGCATGTAGCTGTGGTTAGCCCCGCAGATTTCTGAGCACTGGCCGTAGAAAATCCCAGGCCGGGTGGTAATGAATGAGGTTTGGTTTAGTCGGCCTGGGATTGCATCTGTTTTAACTCCGAGCGTTGGAACTGCTCATGAGTGAAGTACGTCTCCGGCAGTAATAATTACGCGGATCGGTGATTCTATGGGTACGACTACGCGGTGGTCAACTTCTAGGAGTCGGAAGTGCCCATTTGGCAGGTCTGTGGTGGGAATTATGTAGGAGTCGAATGAGAGGTCCTTGAAGTCTGTGTATTCGTAGCTTCAGTATCACTGGTGGCCAATGGCTTTTAGTGTGAGGTCTGGCTCGTCGATTTCGTCTATTATGTACAGGATTTGTAGGGATGGGAGGGCGAGGAGTACTAGGACGATGGCGGGTAGGATTGTTCAGATTAGTTCTACTTCTTGGGCGTCTACTGCGTTGGATGATAGTTTTTCTATTAGCATGTGGGCTAAGAGGTATAGGACTAGGCTGCAGATAGCTAAGGCAACAATCAGAGCGTGGTCGTGGAATTCAACGAGTTCTTCTATAATGGGTGATGAGGCGTCTTGGAATCCTAGTTGGGAGTGGTTGGCCACGTGAGATGTACAGGGCTTTCACCTGTGATTTAGCCTTGACAAGGCTATGTAATTGGTTTACTAACATCTCATGAGAAAGAAGCATGAGTGGTTAATGCAGCTGGCTTGAAACCAGTGTATGGAGGTTCGATTCCTTCCTTTCTTGTACTTGAACGAAAGCTGGCTCCTCGAAGGTGTGGTATGGAGGGGGGCAGCCGTGGATTCACTCAATGTTTGTGGCGGTTAATTCTGGTTGGAGGACTTTCCGTTTGGCTGAGAAGGCTTCTCAGATGATGAACATTAGTATGATTACGGCCACTATTGAGATCAGGGACCCAATAGAGGAGACGGTGTTTCACAGTGTGTAGGCATCAGGGTAGTCCGAGTATCGTCGGGGCATTCCTGCCAGGCCTAGGAAGTGTTGGGGGAAGAATGTTAGGTTTACCCCTGTAAATATCACTCCGAAGTGGGCTTTTGCTCATGTTTGGTGTAGAGTGAATCCTGTAAGAAGGGGGAATCAGTGAGTGAATCCAGCTAGGATGGCAAAGACAGCGCCCATAGATAGTACGTAGTGGAAGTGGGCGACTACGTAGTACGTGTCATGCAGGGCGATATCTAGGGAGGAGTTCGCAAGGACGATCCCTGTTAGTCCTCCGATGGTAAATAGGAAGATAAACCCTAGAGCTCAGAGTATTGGGGGATCTCATTTGATTGTTCCCCCGTGTAGGGTGGCGAGTCAGCTAAAGACTTTGATTCCGGTAGGGATGGCGATGATTATAGTGGCGGATGTGAAGTAGGCCCGGGTGTCAACGTCTATTCCTACGGTGAATATGTGGTGGGCTCAGACGATAAATCCTAGGAAGCCGATGGATAGCATGGCTCAGACTATTCCTATGTAGCCGAAGGGTTCCTTTTTGCCCGAGTAGTATGTGACTACGTGTGAGATAATTCCGAATCCTGGGAGGATTAAGATATAGACTTCTGGGTGGCCGAAGAATCAAAATAGGTGTTGGTACAGGATTGGGTCTCCCCCTCCGGCAGGATCAAAGAATGTGGTGTTTAGGTTTCGGTCGGTTAGTAGCATTGTGATGCCGGCGGCGAGGACGGGGAGTGATAGGAGGAGCAGGATGGCGGTAATTAGGACTGATCAGACGAAAAGTGGGGTTTGGTATTGTGAGAGTGCGGGGGGTTTTATGTTGATGGCTGTGGTAATGAAGTTAATGGCTCCGAGGATGGAGGAGACACCAGCCAGGTGAAGTGAGAAGATAGCCAGGTCCACTGAGGCTCCGGCGTGGGCTAGGTTGCCTGCTAGAGGTGGGTATACGGTTCAACCCGTACCAGCGCCAGCTTCTACAGTGGATGAGGCGAGTAGAAGGAGGAATGATGGTGGGAGGAGTCAGAAGCTTATGTTGTTTATTCGTGGGAATGCTATGTCGGGGGCACCGATTATCAGGGGGACCAATCAGTTGCCGAACCCTCCAATTATGATGGGCATTACCATGAAGAAGATTATTACGAAGGCGTGAGCGGTGACGATCACGTTATAAATTTGGTCGTCGCCCAGGAGGGTCCCTGGCTGGCCTAGTTCTGCCCGGATCAGTAGGCTGAGTGCTGTGCCAATTATTCCGGCTCATGCCCCGAAGATAAGGTATAGAGTACCGATGTCTTTGTGATTGGTAGAAAATAGTCATCGATTGATGAAGGTCACGGGTAAGATGGCTGAGTGTTTAAAGCGTTAGGCTGTAGTCCTTTTTACAGAGGTTCAATTCCTCTTCTTATCGGCCCTGTAGTGAAGTTCATGTTGAGTTGCAAGCTCATCGATGTGCACGAGAGTGTACCGGGGCCTTAGGCAGAGGCCAGTAGGTTTGGGCGTTTAGCTGTTAACTAAAATTTTGCGGGATCGAAGCCCGTCTGTCTAGTAAAGGCTTTAGCTTAATTAAAGCGTCTGGTTTGCATCCAGGAGATACAGGTTAGTGTCCTGTTGGTCTTAGCGCAGAAACTAAGAGGGTTTAACTCTTATTTAAGGCTTTGAAGGCCTTCGGTTTAGGTGGGTGTTATCCTAAGTTTCTAGACAATAGCGTGGACTATGGGGGAGAGGGGGAGTAGGAGGATTGATAGTGAGGCTAGGATTGCGGTGGGCGTGCTTGGGGGTTTGCTAGTGTACCACTGTTTTATGTGGTTGGACGAGTTTGGTGGGAGGGTGATTGTTGAGTGGTATGCGAGGCGTAGGTAGAAGAATAGGCTAAGTAGGGATAGCATGGCGATTGCTATGGCTGCGGGTGTTATCTCTTGCTTAGTTAGCTCTTGGATGATGAGTCACTTTGGTATAAACCCTGTCAGTGGGGGGAGGCCTGCCAGGGACAGCAGCACTAGCATTAGGGTGGCGTTTAGTACCGGGGTCTTTGTCCATGAGGTTAGGATTATGGACAGGTTGAGAGCTTTAATCTTGTTTAGGGCCATGAATACAGCTGATGTCATGATTGTGTAGAGATAGAAGGTGAGTAGTGCTAGCTTGGGGCTGTAGACTAGGATGATGGCGATTCAGCCTAGGTGGGAGATGGATGAGAAGGCTAGGATTTTGCGTGTTTGTGTTTGATTTAGTCCTATTCAGCCTCCCAATGCTGCTGAGGCCAGGGCTATTGCGGTAAGTAGGGCTGGGTTGAGAGATTTAGATGTCATTAGGAGGAGGGTCAGTGGGGGGAATTTTATGAGGGTTGAGAGTAGGAGGGCCGTTATTAGGGGGGATCCTTGTAGGACTTCTGGGAATCAGAAGTGAAATGGGACCAGGCCTAATTTAATTGCGATTGCTGCTGTGAGCAGTAGACATGAGGTTGGGTGGTTAAGTTGTGTGATGTCTCACTGGCCGGTGGCTCAGGCGTTGGTTATGCTGGAGAATAGTACTAGGGCGGAGGCAGCTGCCTGTGTCAAGAAGTATTTTGTCGCGGCTTCTACTGCTCGCGGGTGGTGGGATTTGGAGATTAGGGGGATGATGGCTAGTGTGTTAATTTCTAGTCCGGTTCAGGCTAGGACTCAGTGGTTGCTAGAGATTGTGATTGTTGTGCCTAATGCGAGACTGAGGACTAGGACTGGGGTTGCATGGGGGTTCATTAGTAGAGGAGGGGGTTGAACCATCATTTCCGGGGTATGGGCCCGGTAGCTTGATTAGCTGACTCTACTAGAAAATAATATAAGGGAAGTATGGAGAGTTTTGATCTCTTCTGTGTAGGTTCAATTCCTACTTTTCTAAGGTCAATAGGAAATGAGAGGGCTGTTGTACCTCTATGTTCACTTTATCATAGTGACCCTTTGAGTTCAGGCACATTTCCTTGTGGAAGGAGGTAGGCCTGCGTAGCAGATGGGTAGGCTAGTGTGTCAGAGGCATAGGGCTAGTGTGAGGGGTAGGAAGTTTTTTCATAGGAGGTGCATAAGCTGGTCATATCGGAATCGGGGGTAGGAGGCTCGGACCCATAGGAAGCCGGAGGATAGAAGGAGGACTTTTGTGGCTAGGATGATGGGGAATAGCTCTGTAGGGGGCCCTAGGGCGCTTGGGTTAAGGAAGATGATGGCTGTGAGCGTGTTTATCAGCATGATGTTGGCATATTCGGCTAGGAAAAACAGGGCGAAAGGCCCTGCGGCGTATTCAACGTTAAACCCTGAGACCAGTTCAGACTCGCCCTCCGTTAGGTCAAATGGGGCCCGGTTTGTTTCTGCTAGGGTGGATACATATCACATTATTGCCAGGGGCCACGAGGAGAAGATGAGGTAAAGGGGTTCTTGTGCGATGGCAAAAGTGCTGAGTGTGTAGTTTCCGGTTAGTATGATTACTGACAGTAGGATGAGTGCTAGTGTTACTTCATATGAGATGGTTTGTGCAACTGCCCGTAGGGCTCCGATTAGTGCATATTTTGAGTTTGAGGCTCAGCCTGATCATAGGATTGAGTAGACGGCTAAGCTTGATATGGCTACTATAAAGAGGACCCCGAGGTTCAGGTCTACTAGTGAGAACGGGAGGGGGAGGGGCACTCAGGCGGTGAGGGCTAGGAGGAGGGCTAGTATGGGCATTATGATGAAGAGGAGCGGTGAGGAGGTGGAAGGTCGAATGGGCTCTTTAATGAATAGTTTGATTCCGTCTGCAATGGGTTGGAGCAGGCCAAAAGGCCCCACGATGTTGGGGCCTTTACGGGATTGCATGTAGCTTAGAATTTTTCGTTCGACTAGAGTCAAGAAAGCCACGGCAATTAAGATTGGGATGATGTATAGCAGGGCTATAATGAGGTAGCTTACTATTGTTGTTTGTGGCATGTGTAGCTAGGGAGAGGATTTGAACCTCTGGGTAAAGGGCTTAAGCCTTTTGCATTTGCCGGGCTCTGCCACTCTAGCTGATCCTTTTCTAGGATTGGGGTGGTGGGGGGGAGTCCTCTTCATAGTTGAGTTGGTTTCACTACTTAGAGGGAAGGCGTGCTTGTAGTATTGGCCTTACTTTCCCGGTCCTTTCGTACTGGGGAGAGTAGTTCATAGATAGAAACCGACCTGGATTGCTCCGGTCTGAACTCAGATCACGTAGGACTATTAATCGTTGAACAAACGAACCCTTAATAGCGGCTGCACCATTAGGATGTCCTGATCCAACATCGAGGTCGTAAACCCCCCTGTCGATAGGGGCTCTTGAGGGGGATTGCGCTGTTATCCCTGGGGTAGCTTGGTCCATTAATCAATTATATTGGGTCTGGTCACTATTAGCACTTTGAGGGGTGGCTCTAAGTAAAGAGGTGTGGTCTTGTTTTTGGAGGATCTGTTGTTCTCCAAGGTCGCCCCAACCGAAAAATATCGGCCATGCTCTGCGATGTCTGTAGCCCCGGTGGGTTTAGTCTTAGGTTCGCGGTGGCCGTTGATTTTTAAGTTCCACAGGGTCTTCTCGTCTTATGTTCACATCCCCGCTTTTGCACGGGGAGATCAATTTCACTGATTATCCGTGAGAGACAGTTAAGACCTCGTTTAGCCATTCATACAAGTCTCGATTTATGGGACAATTGATTGCGCTACCTTTGCACGGTTAGGATACCGCGGCCGTTTAACCTAGGTCACTGGGCAGGCATCACCTTCAATACTTGTTTGTTTGCTGAAGGCTATGTTTTTGGTAAACAGTCGGGCCTTGTTTTGCCGAGTTCCTTTCACAGATTTTAATCTCTCTTATGGGCGCTCCTGAGTCGGGTTAACAGGGTGAGTTTATACCTGGTCTTGTAGGAGTTTTTGTATATGTCTGGGTCTGTTAATAATGTTCTCATGTAAGCTTGCGCCGCTAGAGGGGTGGGTGTGGCCCCAAGTTACTCATTTTAGCATTAATTCTCCTATATTCATAGGTTAACCTGTTTGTGGTAAGGGATTCATCTTGTTTTGGCATTTTTGAGTGTGGAGCTTTGACGCACTCTTTGTTGATGGCTGCTTTAAGGCCCACAGTAAGGTTGGTGATTAGATTTATCCACTAGTCGAGGTTGTGTCCTTTTTTAATGGAGCTGTACCTCCATTAAATAGCTCTTAATCATCTCATTGTGGTTCTGGGTGTTGTCCGGTAGGGAAGATTAAGGGAGAACTTAGATTCATTTCACAGGTAACCAGCTATCACCCAGCTCGGTTGGCTTTTCACCTCTACTGACAAGTCATCCCACTCTTTTGCAACAGAGACGGGTTCGCTCTAATAGCTGCTCGTAAGTAGCTCGCTTGGGTTTCGGGATGGCAAACTTCAGTTCACTTTGCTTGGTTGTTCTTGCTAAATCATGATGCAAAAGGTACAAGGGTTAGTCTTTGCTGTCTCTTGCTTTAGTTTTCACTATTATTTCATCTTTCCCTTACGGTACTGGTCTCTATCGCGTCTAAGTGTCTTTTCTATCGCCTATACTAGGACTAGAAAATGCTTTAGTTAAGTCTTAATTAGTGGGATTCTTTAGTTTTGCGTTGTTTAAGCGGCTGAGCTAGAGGAAGGCTTCAAGACGACCTGGTTTAGCAGATATCTCTCAGGTGTAAGCTGAGTGCTTTGGGGTTATAGCTACGTCTTGAGTATTCTAAGTACACCTTCCGGTACACTTACCTTGTTACGACTTACCTCATCTTTGGCATTTACGTGGTATTAATTATGTGGGGGTGTGGCTTATGAGGAGGGTGACGGGCGGTATGTACGTGCCCTAGGGCCGGCTTAAAGCGAGCTTTATTGTCCCGCTTTACTGCTAAATCCTCCTTCTAGAAGCAGTTTCATACTTCTTTCCGTGTTGCCCTATGCATAGGGAATGTAGCCCATTTCTTCCGTCCCATAGGCTATACCTTGACCTGTCTTATTAGCGGGGTGCTGTTGCGCCCACTGTTGCGCTCTCATTCGAGGTGGGCTGGCGACGGCGGTATGTAGGCTGTGCTTGGCAAGGGGCGGTTGGGTTGATCGTGGATCATCGATTACAGAACAGGCTCCTCTAGGTGGGTTTAGGGCACCGCCAAGTCCTTAGAGTTTTAAGCGTTTGTGCTCGTAGTTCTCTGGCGGATACTTCGGTAGGGTAAGTATCAAGATTTAGGGCCAGGCATAGTGGGGTATCTAATCCCAGTTTGGGCCCTGGCTTTCGTGGGTTCAAATTAATCGCTAGTTTCTAAGATCATCTTGATGGTGTGTTTAGGTGCATCTTGTGCTTGCGACAGCTTAGTTGCATTTTGATCTTAGTTAGGTAGGATAGGCATCTTACCACTCTTTACGCCGCTTGTAGGACAGTTGATTTGGGTCTCTTGTATGACCGCGGTGGCTGGCACAAGATTTACCGACCCTTGGGTGGAGGCTTGCTATGACTAAGTCGAGTTTGCACTCATTGCTTAATGTTAACTACTGCTGAATACCCGTGGGGGCGTGGCTTAGCAAGGCGTCTTGGGCTACTGCTTGGGTGTGCCTGATACCCGCTCCTTAAGGCCTGGGGTGAAGGCTATTGAGGGCATTTACACTGGGGCGCGGATACTTGCATGTATATGTCTAGCAAAAACCAACTGTAAGGTTAGGACTAAGTCTTTTGTCCGCAGGCATGTTCGTGTGCCGTCTTGGCAGCTTCAGTGCCATGCTTTTGTGGTAAGCTATGTGGACGGGGCAGGTGGCTGGTTAATTGGGTAATGTTTGTTAGGTCAAAGTAATGATTGTCATCGGGTTTGGATCGTCTTTAGTGCTGGAGTTTCTCTAATAAATTTAGGTCATGTTATGCATTTCGTTTTGTATGTATATATATATTGTGGGGTTGTGGTTGGGGTGGTTTTGTTTTTAAAGTATGTCCATCGAGCATTCACTAAATAGCCCTATTATATAGAGCTGTGGAGAGAGCATTAACTGAATGTGGTCAAAGTGCATCAGTGTCAAGGTGATTCCCCATATACGCCAACCGTCTCATTGAGTAATCCCTGAGATATAGGATAGCGCGATAACGCAGGTGTGTCCAGGCTTAGATTGTGGGACCCCCGAAGTCACTGGGAAGGGCCAGCTGTGAGGTAACCCCGGAAAAAATAAAAGGAACCAGAGGCGCCAAAAAGCTGGAGGATGCCGCGATTACGCATTGAGATGGTGGAAGTATTCCACAGATGCCACTTTGAAGGGCAAGGAGAGGTGAGTGAACCCAATTGATGGCCCTGACCGAGGAACCAGAGGCGCAAAAATGTGAGGAGGGCGAGGGGTTTAGGGGGAACGTATGGGCCTGAAGCTAGTCACGTCGGACATTATGTGCAAGGATTGCTGATTTCACGTGAGGTGTACGATTAATAAATCCATCTGGTACGCAGCTTCATGAGTAATGGGTGGGTGGAGAGGAATTTGGAGTGTTGGTAGGGTATGTCTGTCAAGCATTCATCATTATGGGGCCTTGTTCTGGTTGGGGACATGTTATGTGGTGTTGAGGTGTTGGGTATTAGAGCATTCACTCTGGGTCCATTGGGAGGGTAGTCCGATAGGTAGGGTATGTCCGTTGACATGTGATGGGTTTAGTCCGTGCATGTAGGATAGTTGGTTAATAGTGTTTATTACCGGGACCATAGGTTAATATATGGGGAATATAAATGTATGCACGATATGCATAACCAAATAACCCCGCAACCCCTGGGGGGGGAAGGGGGGGGGGGTCCTGAGAGCATTATTAGGCTATTCTAGCT